ATGGTCATGTGAACAAAACTAGCTTAATAACTAAAATTACTCAAAATTTGTAGATTTCCCCTTTTCTATTGACTGCCCCCAAATATTTAATATCTTGTAGATTATTATTAAGTTTCTTTTGAATTAATTTTAATTTAACAACCCTTTGTTCATTGTGGATATTTTTTCGGTTTTTAACACAACAATCCAATCATAAGATCAAATTTAAGTTAGTATACAAAATGATATTTTTGTTTATTCCTATTTGTGGATTAACAAACTTTAATTTTTTTTTTTTGAGTTCTTTTCAAAAAAGAGAATAAATAAAAAAAATTCTATTTGACGTTCTATTATTCTGAAATCATCGGATCAAATTGCCATTTTTTTCTAATGTACGTATTTCAGTGATCCAATTAAGATAAATAAACAACGCCTAACTATTTTTGAAGATTTAGATCTGCTATATATATTTCGCGTATTTATCAAATTCGATCAAAAAAAAAATATATTAACAAATATATTATTTCCAATTACCGTTTCAAATAAAAGAATAAAACTAATTTTTTTTTTTGCGATCTTATTTGTACACAAAGTTAAAATAAATCTGTTACTCAAAAAAAAATTACCCGAGTAATCAACGTCAGAAAATCCTAATTTCCCATTTATAATAGATATAGATACTTCCTATTTCATTTTGCATGAATAGATGTCTATGGATAAAAGTATTATGTTGCCATTTCATAAAAAAAAAAATTTTTTCGATATCATTTAAAATGTGGTTCTTTGTTTTATTTTAATCAAATTTAATATTCGCTATAATGAGTTTCAATGTACAGTATAAAAAAAAGTAATTATAAGAACCTTTTTATTTGGCATTTCGCGATAATCCTAAATTCATTGTTTGACTCAAAAAAGTATTTTTTTTTTTTTATTCATATGATATAAAGTTACGCCTTTAAAATACTTTGAATATAACCATCTTTCACATTGTCGTTTCAAGTATTTTTTTTTTTTTTTTTGTCATTTTGATATTTTTGATTAAACCGATTCTCTTTTTGCAATCAAATTACTAAAGCTCCTTTGATTTTAGATTCAAAGAGAAACAAAGTTATAAAAAATGAGACGCATTATGATTTACATTGTGTTCCCCTTGATCTCATATATCCTTTTAAGTTTTGCTCTTTATTTTGAAACCAATTATTTTACTTGGAATTTTCTTGAAACTTGACATCGGTCGTACAGCCATAGCTTTAAAAGTTGCGATGGGCGCTTATCCAGTCACGATTAATACATTCACCTAAAATCCAAAATTCTTAGGCTATCCGGTTTGCTCGTGTGACAAATGAAGCTTTTAAAAAGGTACAATGATGAGGTTTAATCACGATCAAAGCGGAAAAGTTGAATATGAAGCAGATTTTTGTAAGGATTTTGCTGAGCAAAGTGAATTCGCATGTCCAGTTGAAGGAAATTTCTACTTGACCACAATTATGTTTTTAGAAGTACTCATGAAGAATCTAAAAATGTTTCAGAAAATCTATATACGAAAATGATACTTACATATGTATGAATCCATAAATTTTTTTTTTTAAAAAAAAAATTTAAAACTCATTTGATAAATTTTTTTGATCAATTAATCGTAGTTTCTAAACCAGATATATTTGTTTCGAAGAATATACTAAACTTTAGTCTCGTATTCTCCATGTATTTCTTTACGATAATATAAGTCTTTGAATTAATTTTATACGTCAAATATTAAAAAAAAAGTAAAATACTAAAATTGTTGTTATAATATTCTTTATTTTCATCTTTGTATATACAAAGTTATTAATAAAACTAAGCAATAATAAAGCTTACAAATTAAATATGCTAAGAAAGTTCAACTAGAAAAACCAGTCGATAGACGAATGTGATGTTTTTAAAAATTAAAAAATGTCGTCTCAGAAAATCATTCTTTACTTCATTCTTCACTATGAATACTAACGCAATTGTTCTTTCCAGAATCTTGCAATATTATTTAGAAGTTGGATTAATTATCTATTCTTTATTTATTATGAACTCAAATAAATTTTGATTGATATATTCCTCATAATATAAATACCTTCATTATATTTTCTAAAGAATATTATTACAGAAAGTCGTTCTTTTATTCTCTTTGACTATAAACTAAATGCCTTCATTTTTAAAATAACATTATGTAATTTCTGCATGCATCGGATGAACAGAAATTTAGTTTTGCCATTAATAAAATCTCTTTAAATAAAGTACATTATTCATATTTGCTTTAAATGACTTAGAACTTTCTATAAAGAAGCTTTACTATTAACAAATAATGATATCATTATAAATTTACTAGATATAGAAATCCAGTTTTACACAATAATGAGGCAAATAAGTCCTGCTGCCAAGAAATTCCTGCCAAAAAAAAGTGCATGATGCAAGTTGATTTCTTATTGTAGTTTCAAATATAGAAATTAAACAATAACGATTGAAAAATTTAATCAATCGTAATCTGATTTCTTTTACTCAAGTTTAGGGATGGGGACGGTTCGAAAAGAGCGACTCCGAGTCGGTTCTGGAACCGATTATAAATTCAGCATATTCTGGGT